GCATTGGACAACCCTCTAAGGGTTGCGTCGATGGAGGGTGCTCTAACGTAAATTGAATTAGCATTTTGCGGTCCGGGTGACAAATTTAGGTGACTAAAATAGATTTGGTTAGTAGAATATTTAACTTTAAGTTTCATACCATATATTTGTAGTTCTTGTTCCACATTTATGCAAACTTATCTCTCAATATCTCTGTTTTTGAATTTTCTGTTCATAAATCCGCCATTTTGTTGTTCCGGAATTATTGTTTTGTATGATTTTGTATTTTGCTGTCTTAAACTGTTTGAATAAACAACAAACTGGCTAAAACACTTCTCTTCTTAAAAAACTACAACTGAACATTATTAATTGATATGAATAATTAAAATAATACTGTAACAAAATAAATGTTTTTAAATGACAGATGCCTACCAAACGCTTCAAAAATTATGTTGGTACACCTGTACTGGTTGTCAACTTTTGGCGCTAACCTTTTTTTTTAATTCTTATTTATTTATAATTAAAAGATAATACAAATCAAATTTGGCTCCAAATTCCTAATTAACGATAAATAAATCAGAATCAAATCCTTTTACTGGCATTTTTCAACAATTTTATAACTTGATAAAAACTTATGAAAATATTTACATATGAGTATAAACGTAAAATAATTATAACAAATTTTTATAGTTATAAGAAAATTAGGTATACAAAATACGTATGTACTCACATATATATACAAAAGATATAACAATCAATCATAAAAAAATATCTGAAAAAGCGCCAAAATCATTGTGCAGAATAACTTACTCATAGATAAGTAAACTTACTTGTTACTCCGGTAATTAGATCACGTAGAGCACAATTATAATTTATCTATATATATAATTAATATTTTACGTTTAAAACCATTTAAGCAAGATTTCTAGCACAATTTATTAATATTTAAACACATTTTTTGTTACCATAAATTATTTAACATTACTTTTTAAACGTTTTGACAATAGTGTTGCCATACGCGATAAATAGTCCTCAAGATGATACATAAATAAAAACCGTTAATTAACGGATTTTATTTATTTTGAAGAAACCTATTATGTTTAATTTATATGTGATAATATGTTATAATATATAATATAATTGAATTACAATATAATATAAATGAAATTGTTGCTAAAATTAATTTTGTTTTTATTTAAAATTCAAAAAGTTCACTTTGAAAACGTGAACGAACTTCAACACGTAGTTGTACAAGGATTTAAAAGCTGTCAGTTTACTGAAAAAATGTTGTGATTTTATATTTATTTAAAAACGTGTGTACTAATTCTAGAAAGTGCTCATCATACCAGGATTTTATTTACTTTTTATATAAATAAATGTACATTAATGGATCCATATAGTAACTCATAATATTGAGGATACTTTGATTGCATTTCAAAAGGTATAAAAATGGCGACTAACGTATGTACTGATATATTTTTTTTTTGCATACTTTTATTGTCAATCAAAATTAAATACATTTTTTGAGACAATGTGATGTTGGTGTTAATGCATATAAGAGATTATCTCCATGTACTGATATATAAATATCAAATATGTATTACATTTATAAATATATATATATATATATATATATATATATATATATATATATATATATATATATATATATATATATATATATTCATATTACAAATATATTTTATAGGGGTGTTTCCCAAAAATATCCTAACACAAAAATGTGTCCCCATTCCAACAGAGAGAAAAAAGCCGAATTGTGTTCTGTTAAAAATAATTTGTCAGGCCCAGCCCTCGTTATTATTACAATTTGATAATAGGGCGCTGCAAAGCAAATGAGGGGTAAAATGTTAGTACAAATGGATGGAAACGAGAGACTACAGGATAAATGCTGTCTTTTTCTTAATAGACTTCTGTAATGGGGCTCCAGGAAAAGGAACTAATAAAGAATAGATTCATATAGCAAAGAATAGATTCATAAAGAGTAAGATTTGTAATAAAAGGTAATTGATTTTTGTCTAAGTAATAGAGGAATCATGGTGAAAATTATTTGGTAGCAATTATATATATTAAATATATATATATATAGATTTTTTTCAGGAATCCTGGTTTTTTCTAAAAGCAATATTTTTTTCCGGATTGTGCTAAATTTTTGTACAGGCTCTTATTTTTAATAATTAAAAGCCAAAAAAAATTATCAAAAAACTCATCAGCAAACTTATAAAAACACTTATAGTATTGTTTTTATTGTTAGCAATTCTGATTAAAAACTTTTGATTCTTTCAAGAAAAAAGATTTGTATCACATATTTAAATATGATTTGTTATGCACAATTTTTATTAGAATAATAATTTAAAAAATACAAAAGTTCCAGCCCCAAATTTGAAATAAAAAAGTAAAGTCAATTTAGTAAGAATGGTACCAAAATAAAAAAATTGGTGAAGTCAATTTCGTCAACAACAAAGTAAAGACAATTATATTAACATAATATAATATAAATTGATGATTGGCGAACCAACAAATTGACTCCAGGAACCCTAATAATTTATAATCATAATTTAAACATTAATTATTATTAATTTGAAATAAAAACAATATAATAAAAATATAATATTATAATGGTAAGAAAGCAATTTGTATTATTGTATGTACTTGTGCCATCTGTGTATTCATCCAATTTATATTTTACCCAAAGTGTGAATCTTAGATAACAGTTAGATATTTTATTATTTAAATTAATTGTTTATAAACGATTAGTAACAACAATTCTAATTTTAATATTTTGTTAAAAGTATATAAAATCATCTATAAATCTGTAATTAACAAATTGTACTTGTTGTTGGAACAAAATTATATAAAAAGAGTTTGTTAAACTTTGGTGTCAAAATTTTCATGCGGCATCCACGTTTTTGTTTCTAATAACATTTATTTAGTTATAATAAAATTATGTATTATTATGTATATAAAGATTTGATTTGATTTCTAGGATATTGAAAAAATAGCTTCAAATCTAGGAGAACATCCAGTGGTGAAATAACATCTCAGAACCAAATTTCAATCATCTGGACTGTATACTCTCGAATAACTTCTTAAGAAGCCAGTTGCAGTATATCATATCATTCGTATTCAATATTGGCAAAGGTTATATGTTTACAACATTTAACCTTACATTACAATAGCAAAAGTAAATACTGAAAAAAATGAAAGTAATTCTCAATATTTTTCAAGAGTCTCTTAAGATATCATATCATTCATATTCAATATTGACAAAGGTTTTATGGTTGCAGCATTTAATCACAATACCAAAAACTGCAAAAATGGAAGTAAATCTCAATATTTTCTAATAGTCTCACATACTCTTTGTAGTCACAAGAATATTAGTCATCAACATAGTAAGAATTGAAAAATATGAAGAAATACAAGATATCTATCCTTGTCGTCACAAGAATATTAGTCATCGATATAGTAAGAATTGAAAAATATTGATACATACAAATCTACCTTTGTAGTAACAAGAATATTAGTAATCGACTTGTAAGAACAGAAAAATATGGAAGATACTAAATATTATAGTTAGTATTAATCATGACTCAAATAATATCATGATACCTTAATTAACTAAACAAATATCTTTACTTTTACTATATAATAGACTTGGAACAAACGAAAAAAAATTGATCGAATTTGGAAAGTATCATTCATATTTCATGGATCATTATGGTGTGACAAATGATAGAAAGATTACAAGTTCTCACAATTTATCAATGTTAATTACAATGCAGAATTTGTTAAGAAAATGGAAGCATAAAACATGAATATCTAATTATTAAGTAAAGTTATCAAAGTCAAGATAGATTAGATAAGTAGATTGAAGAATGGATGAAGAAAGGACGTACTAAAATTTAATTTGAATAGTTATTATTGATTTAAACATTTTGACAAATCATTTCATCATTAGCATCACAATATTCAATGTTCATTTACTCAACTTTTCTTTGTTAATATTAACCCTTTCCACTAACGGCGGCAAAATTCATATAAATTTCGGAATTTGCGAGTGGAAAGGGTTAAATGCTTTATTACTAATTAAAAATATCATGATTGGGGCTAAAATCGACTAATATTTAATCGACTAATTAAAAGAAATAAATACAGTGTTTAATACTACGAGTGGATTTTTATATTGGAAACCACAAGTTGATCTCTTCCAGCGAATACCTTACTGAAAGGACCCATTATTCTGAAGAAAGCTATTATCAAACCAGTAAATCAAACATTATTCCTACTGCTCAACCCTAGACACCAGGAAAGGGTTGCTCGGACATTATTACCATATCGTATAAAGAATCTACTACAGTAACCACTAACCAGGACTGTGGATCTACCAACAATCGGACCTCCAACCCATACCTAAACCCTACCACCAACCACATTATATCATTTCAATATATATATTGAAATATGTGAGTTAGGTGTTGATATATATTTTGATAAAACGAAAGACTGAAAATATCAAAATTTAATACATATCATATGTTTGACTTCATTTTATTATATGATTATAAATATATACACAAAATATAAATATGTTGAATTCTAATGAACAGAGCTTACATCAAGAACTTTGATGTTCATTTAATATCTAAGCGTGTAAATTCCTGGTCTTAATTCGATGAGAAATGAAAATAAAACTGACAATAAAGTTAAAACGTAGAAAATAGTGTGAGTAACTACAATAACTAATCTAAAACACTCTTTAATGTCCTAATCAAACAAAATTTATCGTTTTTCGTAATAATATTCGCTAATAAAGAACATTTCACTGTGAAAGCAATTCTTTTATGGAGGTTATATGTGTTATTTTGACGTTTCATTTGCGAATGACAGTTTGGGTGTATTTTGGGTGTACACAGTGTCTTTTGTCTCTGAATGTTGGTAAGTCGTTTTTTTTTTTGGCGTCCGTTGGGTCATTTTTTTGGGTTTTAACGGCGTGTATTAATGTACTGAATGAACATTTTATTTTTTGTATATTTAATTATTAATTAAATATTTAAGCTATTATATATAAGTTTAAATATAAATATAATAATATGTATTATAAAGCGGTATTTGTGATTGATTGCTGAACATACAGGTAGTGTATAATACTTTGAGGTTATTCCACATGACTAACTTTTAATTATATTTATTTCATTCAGAAGAAACATTTAATTCTAAAAAAAGATACGCAAAGAAAATGTAAAGTTCAATTTTACTGTTTTCCCTTTCGGGTCTGCAATTATTATATGACTTAAGCCTAGGTTTGAACAATAGTTGATTCAAAAACACTGTCTGTCAAATATAAAGTATTTTGAAGAAGAAATTATCTTGGCGACATTGTTCAAAATAGACTTCTGTTAACTTAATGTAAGATTACATTCACGGACAAAACCATAATATGAATATATTATATTCTCGTGAACCATTTGTGTTGACAGTTGAGAATGATAATTATTTCGAACATGCATTCTTGTAAAATGTTACGAGAGCATAAATGCATTTGACTCACTAAAATCATACTCCATACTCCAACTGTCAACAACTAATGTTTTCATTTGTATTTCTAGTCAAATGAATTATAATATTTAACAATAGTTCATTTAAACTAACTATTTTTGTTAATGCTTATAGAACATACTCAGTGCACAAATATCTCAAAATGTCGGAAGCTGCTGATGATCCGATAATTAAAATTGAACCACAAGAATATCCAATCGAAGACATTAAACCAGAAATTGAGGAAGACCCTGAATCGTGTTCAGAGGATGACAAAACATGTCTAAACAGATTTATGAACTCTATAGTGAAAATAGAAGAAAATGTTGAACAGGAATTAATTCAGACTGCTCCTTATAAATGTGATAAGTGTCATAGAACATTTAGAAAGTTACATTATTTAGAACAGCATATGATAAATTATTGTCATAAGTGTCCAGATGCAAGTGCATTAGAAATACATATAAAATCTCATACAGGTGAAAAATATTTCACATGCACAAAGTGCAGTAAAGCATTTACTGAAAAATATCATTTAGATCAACACATTTGTGCTCGCGCCAGAGAACAAATTTCACATTTGAATGAATCTGGTAATCGAAAACAAAATATTCGCACTCATACAGCAAAGGGACCAGGTAAGCGTCCCCATATTTGCCAAATTTGTGACAAGACATTCAGACAATCGAGTAACTTGAATCAACATATGCTAATACACACTGGGGTACGTCCCCATATTTGCAAAATATGTGATAAGACATTCACAGAATCGCGTAACTTGAAACATCATATGCTCATTCACACTGGTGAACGGCCACATATTTGCAAAATATGTAAAAAAGCATTCACACTATCGCGTAACTTGAATCAACATATGCTAATACACACTGGGGTACGTCCCCATATTTGCAAAATATGTGATAAGACATTCACACATTCGAGTAACTTGAATCGACATATGCTAATACACACTGGGGTACGTCCCCATATTTGCAAAATATGTGATAAGACATTCAAAGAATCGCATAACTTGAAACATCATATGCTCATTCATACTGGTGAACGGCCACATATTTGCAAAATATGTAAAAAAGCATTCACACTATCGCATAACTTGAATCAACATATGCTAATTCACACTGGTGATCATCCCCATATTTGCAAAATATGTGATAAGACATTCACACAATCGCATAACTTGAAACATCATATGCTCATTCACACTGGTGAACGGCCACATATTTGCAAAATATGTAAAAAAGCATTCACACTATCGCATAACTTGAATCAACATATGCTAATTCACACTGGTGAACGGCCACATATTTGCAAAATATGTGATAAGACATTCACACATTTGGTTACCTTAAATAGACATATGCTCATTCACACTGGTGAACGTGCTTATAGTTGCCAAATTTGTGATAAAACATTCAGACACTTGTGTAACTTGAATAAACATATGCTTATCCACACCAGAGAATGCCCCTACAAATGTAAAGTTTGTGATAAGGAATTCAAACGTTCAGAAGCCCTGAAAAGGCACATGAATGCTCATACCAATGAGTAATTAGTATTTACAAAATTGGTAACAAAATTACATATGGCTGCTTATAGAAATTAATGTTAATTAGATATATGAATTAATTTATATATTTTATAAAATAAATAAACATTGTTATCAAGGGCTTTAGTAAATAGTTTATTAATAATGTTGTACATCCATTCCAGGTTTAATAAGATTTGCAATTGAGCCATAACTGTTAGTAGAATCTTCAGAAAAAGCCTAGTTTCTAACGTTTTTGATACGATTTAAAACGTATGTATTTTTCATTTATTATTATATAATACTTGTAATATGTATTACAAAAGTAGGTTTACGCCAATCAACTCTCTTTGCATATATTTTTAACTGATTCTTCAAAATTTGTATAAAAATAGTATAAGTAGGGGAATCAGAGTATTATATTATGCATAAACATTGTCCGATATGCTCTAATTTTTTTGCCATACTAATTTTACACAGATTATTTAATTAAAATATAAATAATCAACAAATTGAGCAAATCCCACCGAATGAAATCTTATACAAGATTTTAGATTATTCAGAAGAATGGTGAATAATAATAATACATAGCATTTATTTTCGACGTTTCGACGCTGTATGTGTGTCATCACTCAACATATTTAGCAATATCTAAAAACGTTTTTTACAGTTTTTGATATTCTTATTGAATTCTTATTAGAATTTAATGAGATTCTTATTACTTATTATACTTGTTTATCTATGCTTATTACATTCTTATTGGGTTCTTGTCAAAATAATATTATTATTAGATAAAAAAATTACATGAGGTATAATGAGGAAGCGAATGGTTTGAAAAATTGTGCATTCACGCAAACATGGACACACAAATATACACACATATATATACACACACATACAAACATGCACACACATACATACACACAGATTTCATTATATATATATATATATATATATATATATATATATATATAATTTAATATCTAGTATTTTAAGTAAAAATAATACATAATTATCATTATGTTCTTTATATTTATACATTATTAATATACAACAACAAATGTATATACAAATTACTAACTAATCTTAAACACAAATATATTATACATATTTTACATTTAACACTATACACAACAGCCCACAAATTTGGTATCCAAATCCTCGAATAAAATATAGTAAAATTCTTCCTGGTAGTTACTAAATGATTTCATTTAATATTTCATCTATTTCTATATTGTGATAGATTATTTCACGAATTCTCATGTAGAAATCTTCTTTTGTGATTTCTTGTTTCAGTATTGTACTACATTTTTAATGTGCTTGTTTAACACTAATCGTGAGTGCAATAATAAATATCAGAAATTCTGTTCAATATTTTTCTAAATTCACTAATCACATAAAGTGTTTCAATACGCTGCAATAATATTATTCAGAATGATAGTCCTCTTTGTATTTTAAGGGCGAGGTTGTTATATTTGTTTAATGAATGTTATATATATATATATATATATATATATATATATATATAAATTATATAATTCAATTACCAATTACCAATTATCAATTACCTCTATTATTCCCTGGTCTGAGCCTGCCACAATCTGTAATACAATCCACTTTCATTAGCCAGCAATTTATCATGATTTCCAATTTCTGCAACTTTGCCATTTTGCAAAACTATTATAACATCACTCGTCATGATTGTGCAAAGTCTGTGGGCTATTGAAAGGCTGGTGCGGCCCTGACTCGCTTTTGAAAGGGCCTCCAAGATATTCTAATAAGAGAAGATGATAATAGATAAATATATAATATTTATTTAAAAGATAAAATAGATATTTTACATTTTCTGTGATACAATCCAACGATGAAGTGGCTTCATCAAAAATCATTATGGGTGAATTTTTTAAGATAGCCCTGGCAATTGCAACCCTTTGTTTTTCGCCTCCTGATAATTTCATGCCACGTTCTCCCACCTGCAAACATAAATAATAATATGATTATTCATGTAATTATAAATAATTTAATTATATATTACCTGTGTGTCATATCCATCAGGCCACTGTTCAATTGTGTCGTGAAGTTCAGCCAATTTGCTGACTCTTAGCAATTCTTGCTCATTACTCGATAAATCACCATAGAGTAGATTGTGACGCATTGTGTCATGGAATAAAACTGTTTCCTGGAGAAAAATTAAATGGAATAATCAGTAAATTAAAATAATTATTTAAATTTTACCTATTATTCAAAAATATATTACTAAATTTTGATAAATTCAGTGATATATTAACATTTTTCATGGGTCTGTTATTACCTGTGGTACAACAGCAATATTCTGCCTAACACTGGTCACATCAAAACTCCTAATATCTTTGCCATCAATGAGAATCTGTCCCGATTGGGGATCAAAAAATCTGTACAAAAGTCTAACTATCGTAGACTTACTAAAACAACAACACTTATTACACATTTATCACCAAAAAGTACCAGTATTAACACCTTACCCACAACCTGATCCTCCAACAATGGCATAACGTCCTCCAGCAGGAATTGTAAAACTGACATCCTTCAAAATCCAGTTCCCGTCATCAATTAAATCTTCTTTGAAACTTTTGTTAATACCATCCTGGTCTTTAGATTGTCCGTCCATTTTATATTTTTCTTGATATTTAGGTTGTTTAGTTATGTTATCTGTGTATCTAAAATACACATTTCTGAACTCAATCGAGGATGTGGAGCGATCTATTACCAAATTGGGCATGTTGATATCAGACTATAAAAATAACTGAATATGAATAAATATATTCGGAATGATTGTTTTAATAGTTTTGTAAAATTACTTTTATTTTGCACCCATGGCCCATTAGTCTAAACATTGATTGCATATCGATAAGAGCTTGTCTGACCTCACGGTAGACGGATCCTAAAAATCCCAAAGGTATTGATAGTTGGAAAACCAATCCGTTGACTAGGACCAAGTCTCCGACAGTCATGTTGCCTGAAAATAATATACACCTAGTTAAATAATCGACATAAAAAATAAAAATCTAAAATTTATTTATTTATATTTATATATTTATATTTATATTTATATTTATATTTATTTATATTAGATTCATATATTTAGATTGATATTATATTGGAATTTATAGGGAAGGGAGTAGTTATAGGGAGAGGGATATATTCATATATTTATATGATATTTAGAGATTTATATTATAGATTTAATTTATTATTTTTATATTATATTTATATTTATATTTATATTTATATTTATTATATTTATATATTTATATTTATATTTATTATATATATATATATATATATATTAGGGTGGTCCTTAAAATGATCATTTTCGAATTTACTTACTTCGAAAGTTTTAGCTCTTAATATTAACGTTTAGATAGAGCGCAATTCAATCAAAGTTTTGTATGGAAATAGCATGGAAAAATTTTCAACAATTTTAAAAATGTTTTTCAGACGCAATTTAGCGAACAAATGAATGAATAAAACTCATTCATTTGTCGCTAAGTTATACCCAAAACATTTTTTTTTTATTTCCAAAAATTTTTCCATGCTCTTCCCATACAAACTTTGATTGAATTGCGCTCTATCTAAACGTTAATATTAGGAGCTAAAACTTTCAGAGAATTGTTTTTTATCAATTTGGAACCATTTGAGCCCCTGGGAGCAAGGAAATTCGAAAATGACCATTTTAAGAACCACCCTAATATATATATATATATATATATATATATTTATATATTTATATATTTATATTTATATTTTTCTTGTTTATTTAAAATTTTAAGCCTTTGCTTTCTGCTAAAACCTAATCAACAATTCATCATATTCTCAATTATTAAATAAATAATATTTACCTTTAATGATTTCTTGTCCAGCCAAAAGCATAATGGAGCTCAAAGCAATACTAAAAATAGCACTTTGTCCAAAATTCAACAAGGCCAAGCTCTCGCTCGTGTTCAAATTAGCCTTTTCATACTTCTCCAGCAATTTATTATATCTTTTAATTTCATAAGGCTCATTGCAAAAATATTTAACAGTTTCGTAATTTATCAATGAGTCTATGGCTTTATTTGAAGCTTCGTTTTCAGCCTAAAAAAGAAATAATTACTACTGTTTTCCACTAATAATTAATAACAGTAATTAGATTTAACCTGGTTCATCTGCACTCTGAATTTCGTACGCCACTGGGTTATTAATAATGTGTAAATCGTGTAAGCAAATACACCACCCATGGAAATGCCAGCAAATGCTAAGCCACACTAGAAAAAAAACGTATAATATAAAAGAAAATAAATGTTAAAATTATACAACAAAAATATATTGACAATTGACATTCATGTTAAATAATATGACAAACCTTATATCCCAAAATACTTGATACAAGAAGCAATTCAAAGAATGTCGGCACAATATTGAAGACCATGGCTGTTAGAACAAAATTGATGCCACGTGAACCTCTATCAATTATCTAAATTAAACATTTAGTGTCACAATATATATATATATATATATATATATATATATATATATATATATGTATATATATAAACCTTTATCTGTCTATTACCTTGCTTAAAGCGCCAGTTTGCTTATTAAGATGAAAAGACAAATCCAAATTGTGCAAGTGTGAAAAAACATTTGTAGCAATTTTTCTTATAGAATGCTGAGCGACTCTAGCAAATATAGCATTTCTCAATTCATTACAACCTGCAGCACCTATTCTCGCAGCACCATCTAAAAAAAAAAAACATGATGATAAATGTGTACCTATTAAATTATTTGCTAAAATACTCACAGCCAAGTAATATAGCACTGGTGACTGCAAAAGCAGTTTCTGGCACCGATGAGCTAGCATTAAGAGTAATGAAGTTCAAATTATCTATACCAGCTTTAAAAACAAATGGTACACACACGTTTAGTAGTTTGGAAGCAGCCAGAAGTCCTAAAGATATTTTAACTCGTTTTCGAATATAAAAATCATCCTACAGATAAAGTATTTGTTGAATTACAATTTACTATGTATGTTAATATGTAGTTTACCTTTGGCCATATGTGTTTAAACATTTCACTCAACATTTGTCGAGATGAAATATGAGTTTCTTCTTCATCATCACATATAGAACCTTTTTTATTAATGCTGGGTGTCGGCAGGCTTGAAGATACACCGGGATGAAAGCAGTTTCTATATTGTTGACCTGTACACAAAAGGAATATACATGTATAATCAAATTTTTTGGCTTAATTATGAGACAAAGGTCTCTAACCTGTGGTAAATTTAAGTTGTTTTGATTTGCGGGACAGCATTTTAACAAGAATGTTGTTTCCAAATTTAGTTGCACCTTTTCCATCTTTGGAAAATGAGAAGTCTTTTTGTTTCGAATTTATACTTGTAGAATAGAACTGAAAGGAATAAATGATAATACAACATATATTTATGTAGGAACAGTTTAACTATAAAATAACTTGTTATAATTAACTTAAATTCCTTGTTGATGCGTTTAAAAGGTTTTAATTTGGGCAATATATTTCATTTTTAAAATATCCTGATATTGACTGATAAAATTGACATATCAAAATGTAAAAATTATATTGCGCAATTGTGAATACAAACCCAAGTTATTAAAAACTTTAAATCAATGATTTGCATATATAAATAAATCAAAATATATGTTATTTAATCAAATGTTTAATGAGTATGAAAAATTCTAACCTTAAAAATCCTCTGTCTAACTTTTATCAATCTATTTGCATTTAACAGGTATATATCCATTTTTTATATATTTTTAACAGATAAAATTATATTACAAATATATTTTACAAATCTAATTCAATTCAGCATCAAATAAATTAATTAAATATTAATTAACGTCACTTTGACGTGCAAAAAGTGACGTTTGCGAAGAGCCATGCTTTCATCAGTTGCCAAAAACGTTTGAAGGATTTTAATTGCATAATGATAAAAGATAAATGATAAATTTAATAGAAATAATGAAAAAAATATGAAAGAACCTTGATGTATTTGTTTAATAGATACGGTGTGACTATATAGTAATAAATCTTTTATTTTTTATATGAAATGTAGCAAAACTTTATAACAAAATGTAGCTAAATTTAGAAACGATTGTGTAATGTACATACATATATAAACATATAAATTAAATACATATATACACTTCTATATATATCTATCTATGTACATATATACACATTTGTAAAAATTTTTGAAATTTCCCGCCATAAATATTTGCTCAACTCACAACTGTCAACTTCACAATGACAGATGACAGATGGTCGCCATATTGTTTTTGAAATATGTTTTAGTTTGAGATTGAAGATTAGACAATATACATCATATAATTGTTTTTCTAAAGGAACCCTAGACATAATAATAATAGGAAAAAGGAAGGAACAACAATGAATTAAACATACGGAGAACCTGACGTAAGCTAAACTGTTGTTATCATCATATACGTGGATCATTCAACTAGTACTTAACCTACAAATGAAAGTGGTAATTTATTATTCAACATAATCTTCTTTAAGCTAGGTACATTTGACCCAACTTTCTCAATCCGTCAAAAAAAAATACATTTTTACTAACGATGCAAAATAGGCCAGAAGTTGTGGTTGAATGACTCTCATATGTATGTATTTTATTAACGTGTATTCCATTTCAGCGTTGAAGGCAAAGTACAAACTTTGTGATTATATTGTTGTATTTGTGATTGTATGTTTTCCTTTCAAAATGTATTAATACAAAACATTAATTTAATATAATATATTTATTAAAGAGTATAAAAATATTTCTATATATAAACTTTATAACATGAAGCAACAATATTAAATATAATTAAAATTTTCATATATAATTTATATAAATAAATTAACAATATAATACCAAACCCTGTCATATAAATTAAGTAACTAAAAATAATCCACACGCACACACACACACAAATTCATACAAGCAAATACTGCTAAGAGATTCTATTGTCATTTTTACTGGAAGCTTTTGATTACTATTTTATCATTTACAAATCTTCCATGGCTCCTAGAATGTTATTCAAAGCACATGTGGCATCATTTTTGGGCAAAAGTTCTAGCAAGACTCTCTTGGCTCGGTCAGCATGTCTTTTTTGTAAATGGCGAGTTAAAGCTACTCCTACACCACAGCGGGCTACCTCTTCACGAATCTAAAAGAAAATATAGTATAGGGGTTGTTGATGGTGTAAATTTGGCTGTTTTGGAATACAAACTTGTTGGTAGTCGATGTTTTCAACATTATCCAAGCCTTTGGTGATTTCTCTGTCGTATAATTCTGGATGTAAACATAAGTGGAATAGTATAGGAGCACTCACTAAAGAGAATCTTTGTGTTGAAGGCCATTTCGTTGACTGTAAGTAATAATATGTTAACAAACAGTATAAAATAGTTTGTAATTTTGTTATTTAAGTACTTGAAACGGTTCCAAATCTATACAAGCTTGCCACGCCAGGGCTAAATGTCTTCCAAATAAATATGCATGTCTTTGCATTTCAGGAGGATGTCCGGCAAGTTTAAGTGCTCCTTGACAACTTTTACCTAACAAGCTTCCTAAAAAATAATATAATAATATAAGTTTTTTACAATAAAGCTGGAAAAGATGACTGAGGCAAACTTACACCAAATATATTTTCAATTGTGTTTTAGAGTATACAAAAATACAAAATTGTTACCTGCAGATAATATATGTCTCAACTCCCATTCGCTTGCAGGATTATCAAAAGCATTTTCTAAAGTTATAGATTTCAAATTATCTTCTTCATCGCTACAGGTATTTTTTTCATTTTCAAAAGTCTCAAAAATTTCTGTGATATTTGCTAAAACCAGTTAACAACAATTATAAGAATTGATATTAAAATATTATTAGATCAATTTATAATTCTTTTACCTTCAGAATCTTTGTCAGAATAATTTAATTTCAACTTGTTTGCCGAAAACTTAGAACTCAATTGACTTTTGGGTCTGAAAGGTAAGGGAATATTTTGCTGGTCTCTGATGCCAATAAATTCAGATTCGGACAAGTCTCTCAATGCTGATGATATAAGCTCAACAATTTCTTGATTTCTTTAAAAGAAAAACTCCTAGATTATAATTATAATTGAGTAAATTTTGTTAATAAATTTACCTTAAATTTGCTAATTCCACACAACTGTTTCCCAATAAATAATCCCCACTCAATAGAGCAATTTTGTTTCCAAAAGTCATATCATTTAAATTTTCTGCAAATAAATATCTTTATAAATATATACTTACTAAAACAATTAATATTTATTATCTTACCACCATTAGTTTTATCATCAGCTGTAATTTCATTTGAATTAACATTGTTATAAAACTTATCACCTTCAGTTTTTAAATTTACAAGTCCTTGATGAACTAAATGGCTAGTTCTAATCATTTCTGTAACCTTAACAAAACGATGAATATAAAATCATTTATTTGATATATAATAATTAATATTAACCTCAGCTAAAGCTCGTTGACTGTGCAAGACTCCTGCAGCTTTATCTTGTTCCATATCATCGAATTTCTCCACTTGTCCGGCTGCTTTTGAAACAAGCAAAACAATAAGACCCCATGTTTGCATTGTAGTAGATTTACCATTGTAGAGCAAACTCCTAAAAGCAAATATACACACATATACACACACACATATATATATATATATATATATATATATATTTATTTATAATATATATGTGTCTTTTATTACTTGGCAGTTTTTAGCAAAGGATGGTTGCTTCCCACCAATTTTCTCAGATGCAAAGCGACATTAGCAATTTCATCACTCAATAACCAGCGTAGACTTAAAAATGATGTAGGATAGCCTACAACTTTTTCAGCTTCACTAACTGCTCGAGACCAATCTGGTTTGTTTTTAGATTGGGATTTATCAAGGGCACTTGTAGATATACCACGAGATTTATGTGGTAATGAATTAGACTTGAAAGATTGTAGTAAGTATGTTGAATTTAAGATTTGTCTGGTGGAATTGTTTTCTGGAAAAATTATAGTTTGTTAGCAATTGCACAACGTCGTGGAGTGTAATTATGCAGTAATAAGAACAAATTCAGTTCAAAAACTGGTATTTATAAATATTAATTAACAATTTTTTTACCTGTAAGACTTTTGTATTTTCTAACCTCATTTTTATTTAAAATTCTATTATTATATTTTCCTAACACAGAGCTTGTACAAAGACACTTCGAATTATTATAACAATTATAAATTATATTATTATATACACTATAATTAATATAGTTAAAAGGCTTAAATTTCATAACACTTGCAACTTTCAAAGCATACATCTTGAGCTGTCAAACTGCTGTCAAAGATTGTGCAAAAATATTCTTAAAAATCTAAAATTATTAATTAAACAAACATGAAGAGCTTTAAAACTTTAAATTTTATTTTTTATTTAAATCACTTTAATAATTTTAGGGTCAATTATAATGATGCTTTGTCACACTATTTACTGCAGACTCCAATAGTTAAAGTTAATTATTATTATAAAATAGATTAATTATTATAAAATTTCATTTATTAGCAATATTTAAACAAAGAAGACTGTAGAATCAAGTGAAACTGACTTTTAACCTACTTTCTTTATTGTAAAATAGAGATTGCACATTTCAACTTTCACTAAATTGATGATGTCTTTAAGAGGGGCTAGGTAAGAGATTCCAAGGTCTTTGAGACCTCAATTTAATAAGAATAATCATGCAATTTAATTTAATTGTATGGGGTAATTGACAATAACAAAAATATATACTCATGTCTGTGTATATGCAAATTTTATGTTTTAAGTCATGTAAGTGCTAATGAATTTTGCAGTAAATATTTGCTTAAAATATTTGAATGGTGTCTGTAGATGTTATAATCAAAACAAATATATTTATGTATATATATATGTACTTATATATGTATGATTTAGCTTTTATTCTTTTTACAAACAATCATTCGTAATATAAAAAAGATCAAAACACGAATTCAAATAATGCAACTATCCCGCCAAAAATGTTTTGACAGTTAATTATGTTGGCATTACTGTTTTACTGTCAACAGTTGCATGAAGATGGTTCGTTGAAATTTAATAATTATTTTTTTTTAGCAATTTATTTACAATGGAATGTCCAGTTTGTAATAAAGAAGTCGCAGAAAATATAGAAATTCACGTTGAAAAATGTATTTTTTTACACACTCAGGAGGAACCTACAATGAATGACAAAAATAAAAGAAGAAGTCATACTTTAGAAGCGCCTGAAAAGCGGTTCAAAGAAAATGATGGTACAAGTACAAGCAGAAAATCTCCTGTTTTTGATAACAAACGTAAGGTAAAGGATACAAATAATGGGGTACAAGGCACTAACTTCTTCAAAACAAATAAAGTCATTCAGCTGAGTGATGATGATGACGATGATGATGATGAAGATACACAACCGGTAATGAATTCTACTAACAAACTGTATTCTATTAGGTATGATTATGGCTCACAGAGTTTTGTGTTATTAGGTAGAGCCAGAAATCAAGGAGATCAATAAAAATAAGCTTCCAGAATACGATTTAACAAAACCTCTAGCTGAAATTATGCGTCCAGACTGTATAGACCAATACATAGGACAACAACATGTCCTGGGAAGCGGTATGGTTTTAAGAACATTGCTTGAAAAGACCGAGATACCTAGTATGATACTCTGGGGACCTCCAGGCTGTGGAAAAGTATAAACATCAAAATACTAACTTAGTGTCTACTATTCTCGTTATTGTTCTTTTATTCCAGACTACTTTAGC